GTAGTAGTAGTAGTAGTAGTAGTAGTTGTAGTAGTAGTAGTAGTTGTTGTATTAGTAGTAGTAGTAGTAATAGTAGTAGTAGTAGTAGTAGTAGTAGGAGTAGTAGTAGTAGTAGTCGTAGTAGGATTAGTAGAAGAAGAAGAATAAGAATACTATTCGACGTCGTAGAGCACAGGGGTGACAAACAGACGCAGGAGTCGTAGTAGTAGTGGTCGTAGTCGTAAGAGTAGTAGTAGTAGTAGTAGTAGTAGTAGTAGTAGTAGTAGTAGTAGTAGTAGTAGTAGTAGTAGTAGTGGTAGAAGTGTAGTAGTAGTAGTAGTAGTAGTAGTAGTAGTAGTAGTGATAGTAGTAGTAGTAGTAGTAGTAGTAGTAGTAGTAGTAGTAGTAGTAGTAGTGGTGGTGCTGGTTGTGCTGGTGGTGGTGTGGTGGTGGTGGTGGTAGTAAGTAAGTAGTAAAGTTGTAGTATAAGTAGTCGGAGTAGTCGTCGGAGTAGTAGTAATAGTAGTAGTAGTAGTAGTGGTATTAGTAAGTAGTATAGTAGTATAGTAGTAAGTTTGTAGTAGTAAAGTAGTCAAGTCGTGGGTGTCGTCGTAGTGGTAGTACTGGTAGTAGTATAGTAGTAGTAGTAGTAGTAGTAGTAGTAGTAGTAGTAGTCGTAGTAGTTGTAGTAGTAGTAGTAGTAGTAGTAGTAGTAGTAGTAGTAGTAGTAGTGTAGTGGTAGTAGTAGTAATGGTAATGTAGTCGTAGTAGTAGAAGTAGTAGTATTAGAAGTCGTAGCAGCTTTAGTAGTAGTAGTAGTAGTAGTAGTAGTAGTAGTAGTAGTGGTAGTAGTAGTCGTAGTCGTAGTCGTAGTCGTAGTAGTAGTAGTAGTAGTAGTAGTAGTAGTAGTAGTAGTAGTAGTAGTAGTAGTAGGAGCAGTAGTAGTAGTAGTCGTAGTAGGAGTAGTAGAAGAAGAAGAATAAGAATAATATTCGACGTCGTAGAGCACAGGGGTGACAAACAGACGCAGGAGTCAGGCGGGCAGGAGGAGAAGTGTTTGTTCCCTGGTGCAACATGTCCTGGAGCTTTGAGCCGCTCGCCGGGCAGCATACGCCGTCGTCTGTGATGCCCGCCGCGGGGAGGGGGGGAGGTGTGCACCAGCACGTCGCTGGTGAACTATCGCCTTGTTATGTTTGTCTCGCAGCACCTCCCCTTCTCTCCGGAGGGGCGCTGTGGATGCGGGCACGGGGGGGGAGTGCGGATTCGGCCGAGGACGCCCCCGGATGGCCGTCGATCCCACGATCGGCTTCCCGCTACTCCAGAGTCAGCTGCGCGCTGGAGCTCGGAAGGTAAAAGCATACCGATGCCAATGCCGACGCTCGCCCGACGTCTCCTGGGGTGCGTTTGGATCAGGATCTCGCGGGCGAATCCAGCCGTGGCGACGAGGGCACCCACAGGAGGCTCAAGAGCTTTTTGAAAGCTTCTGCGCCTCCTGGGGGGGCCTCAGCGCCACGGCCGGAATCGCCTCTTGGTCAGGGCGCGCCCTGCGAGAGGTCTGGGGAACAGCGGCATCGGTAGTTTTTCGAGGTCACCGGCGGGGGCGAGAAGATAATCGCGCGTCGCGCGTTGCGGCTTGGGCCCAGCGCGGTTGCCCTTCTCCAGGGCGGGCAGTGCGAGGGCGCGGGGGCGCTAAGAGAGTCGCGTATCGCGCATCGCGGTGCGAGATGCGCGAGGTTAGGTGATTCATTTTCCCCGAATCCTGAGCGGGCAGAGATCCCGATCATCTTTGAAGTGCAGTCCCTGCGCTGGACAGGGCAGCTTGCCACCTCATCTTCTTGTCGGTAGTGGGACCCAGCGTATATACGCGTGTGCTACTCGGAACGTTTGGTTTCGCCTATAGGGTGTTTTCGACGTTCTTTGGCCTGTTCGTGCACCAGGTGATTTGTTTCAGCGATTCTTGCAAACGCCATTCAGAAATGTCTGATTAACGATGGAGGACGAGGGAATAGTGACCAAGAGCAAAATGGCAGGCTGAATACTACGAATTGTACTGGAAGTGTAAGAGACTGGGGGCTGGCTGGCATACGCATGTGCAGCGACACATTCATATACACATGAATAGGCACATGCATATACTCATGCAGATGCAGATGCATCTCTCATATACCAGAAACCGGGCTCCGTGGGGGCGTGGGGCCAAAGACCAGCATTCTTGGGGCCCCCTCCCCTCCCAGAACCTCGCCGAGGCGTCCCTGGAGCCTCCCTGGAGATTTCCCCGAAGCTCCCAGACCCGCCGTAGAAGTCCCAGGACGTCCCACATGGCTTCCAGACTGCTCCAGGACGGCCGAAGATGGCTTCAAGACGGCCCAAGAGGCCCCAAGAGGCCCCAAGACGGCTCCAAGTGTCAATGATAATGGAGATTGACCAGTCTGATTCTCCTCTCCGCACGTAAGCTCCGCGGAGTTGAGCAATATGAAAACGGTCGTCTGCACGACCAATCAAATACAGCACTAGAAATCAGGGAAACCCCAGTCGGTGACTGGAACACATCCGATAACTTGTTATCGATGATAGCTCAAAAGGGGATCCCCTGAAATCATTGAGAGAAATGGCCACAGCATCTATCATACTGTCTCTTCTCTCCAACTGCTTATCTACTGCGTTTCTAGCTGCACAGATTCGGGCAACACACACACACACCCATCTTCACACAGAGTATAACATTTCCAGCTTAGAAGCTGGAGATCAGCACGTTACAAAAATTAGCCTGGCGAAGGACCCAACCATATGCAGTTGTGAGTAATGCTGGTGTGAGTACCGTCTTCGGTGGATCTCCCTATGGGGCCACGAACCGTTTGAGGGGTGTGCCGAAATGGGTGTGGGGGCGGCATGCGAACGTTGCCACTGGGGCCTTCGGTGGAGCTCCTTATGGGGCCACGAAACGTGTGAGGGGTGCACCGAAGTTGGTGTGGGGGCGGCATGCGAACGCAGCCACTGGGGCCTTCGGTGGAGCTCCCTGTGGGGCCACGAAACGTGTGAGGGGTGTGCCGAAATTGGTGTGGGGGCGGCATGCGAACGCAGCCACTGGGGCCTTCGGTGGAGCTCCCTATGGTGCCACGAAACGTGTGAGGGGTGTGCCGAAATGGGTGTGGGGGCGCATGCGAACCCAGTCACTGGGGCCTTCAGTGGAAATCCCCATGGGGCCACGAAACGTGTGAGGGATGTGCCGAAATGGGTGTTGGGGAGGCATACGAACCAGGCCACTGGGGCCTTCGGTGGAGCTCCCTATGGGGCCACGAAACGTGTGAGGGGTGTGCCGAAATGGGTGGTGGGGAGGCATGCGGACCCTGCCACTGGGGCCTTCGGTGGAGCTCCCTATGGGGCCACGAAACGTGTGAGGGGTGTGCCGAAATGGGTGGTGGGGAGGCATGCGGACCCTGCCACTGGGGCCTTCGGTGGAGCTCCCTATGGGGCCACGAAACGTGTGAGGGGTGTGCCGAAATGGGTGGTATGCGGGCCACTGGGGCCTTCGGTGCTCCCTATGGGGCCACGAGGCCGAAATGGGTGGTGGGGAGGCATGCGGACCCTGCCACTGGGGCCTTCGGTGGAGCTCCCTATGGGGCCACGAAACGTGTGAGGGTGTGCCGGAAATGGGTGGTGGGGAGGCATGCTGACCCTGCCACTGGGGCCTTCGGTGGAGCTCCCTATGGGGCCACGAAACGTGTGAGGGGTGTGCCGAAATGGGTGGTGGGAGGCATGCGGACCCTGCCACTGGGCCTTCGGTGGAGCTCCCTATGGGGCCACGAAACGTGTGAGGGGTGTGCCGAAATGGGTGGTGGGGAGGCATGCGGACCCTGCCACTGGGGCCTTCGGTGGAGCTCCCTATGGGGCCACGAAACGTGTGAGGGGTGTGCCGAAATGGGTGGTGGGGAGGCATGCGGACCCTGCCACTGGGGCCTTCGGTGGAGCTCCCTATGGGGCCACGAAACGTGTGAGGGGTGTGCCGAAATGGGTGGTGGGGAGGCATGCGGACCCTGCCACTGGGGCCTTCGGTGGAGCTCCCTATGGGGCAACGAAGCGTGTGAGGGGTGTGCCGAAATGGGTGGTGGGGAGGCATGCGGACCCTGCCACTGGGGCCTTCGGTGGAGCTCCCTATGGGGCCACGAAGCGTGTGCCGAAATGGGTGGTGGGGAGGCATGCGGGCCCTGCCACTGGGGCCTTCGGTGGAGCTCCCTATGGGGCCACGAAACGTGTGAGGGGTGTGCCGAAATCGGTGATGATGATGATGATGATGATGATGATGATGATGATGATGATGATGATGATGATGATGATGATGATGATGATGATGATGATGATGATGATGATGATGATGGTGCTGATGATGACGATGACGATGGGAAGAGGGAGGAGGGGGAGGAGGCGGAGAAGAGGAACGCGGGGCACCGTCTCTTCAACACGAGGACCCGACACCACAGGATGATTGGGAAAAAGACACTGCCGTCTCCGTCATAGTTCAATTTGAACGGGCCAAGCGCATCCGTTCACCTAGAAACAAAAAAAAACACCAACTTAGAAACGACACTCGCTAGGTTTCGCCTCGCAGTAAGAGAGAATCCTCGTGACCAAATCTGCCTTGATTCCTGAAACTGGTAAACGCATTTCGCGAAGCATAGCCTGTACATTTCATACTCGCATACTCTCGAGTCTCCGACGTGCATCCGATCGGTCGTCCTCTATCATCGGACGAAGTCTGTCGATCGTCTACACTGCAATGTGTGGTGTAAATGGGGATGGAGCAATCGCAGTCGGCGAAGCACTATCCGCTTTCGCCTCTAACATTGATGTAGGATCAACTGTCCTCTGCAAATATCGCCACATACAAAGACACAAAACAGTCATCCAAATAATTCTGATCATAAAACCTGTCATAAACGTCCCAGCTGGTGAAAGCACAAACCTCGACCAATCGTCAAAGGGTTGAGCCATAGACGTCAAAATTTGGCAAACTGCTTGTTCCGATGCGGTTGTCACCGCAGTTGCTGCTACAATAGTTGGCACGGACGATCCAGGCGAAAAGGTGTTTGCTGACACTCCTGCAATAAACATGGCACGCGATAAGCGTGTCACAGATGTGCCAACTGCATTACGCACTTCAGAATGGTACGCAAACTCATGTACATCAATCCTTGCAATTTCGTCGTCAGCGCTGTAGTCATTCGGTTTGGCGTGGCACGCATTCATCTCGTTGGCGTCCTCTTGTAGTTCAACTCGCTGTGCTCGCTGCGTTTCCTCCCAGGGATATGTCAGTTTCCGTTTCATGGGTGAAGGTGCTCGGGGATCCGGTCCGAATGTCCACAGGTTCTCGTAGAAGATTCGGTCTTGGTATGGTGTGTCTATCTTCTTGGTAAGTCCGTCAGCAAGTTGCTGTTCTGATCGGACCCACTTGATACCTCCATGCTGGAATTCCTGCCTGATGATGGCTGCCTCCAGAGAAAGTCTACGATTTGATAAGTGAACACGTTCCTTCACAACACATCCCACAATGAACGGCGGTATGTAACCAAAACTCCTTTCCTCTCCTCAGCTGCTTGGCGATACTCATGTCCAAGCCTACTAGCTGAAAAGATATCTGCACACACTGTACGTGTTCAAATGCAAACATCTTCAGCTTAAGAACGGCTGTAAGCCTCTGCTGAAAGAGTACTCCGTACTGCACGTTCAATGAGTCAGCTCGACCATGCCAAGAGCATACATGGATACAGCTTCGTGTGGTCGTCCATCATATTGCCATCTCCCTCCATGATGTAAACAACCACGTTGGCTCTTATGATTTGGCATGTTGTCGAAGGGTGCGTCGTGCGAAGCTATGGTAACAGACTTCCCATAATCAAATCATCCACGAACAACCAGCTGAATCTTCCCCTCACGGCGAATAGACCTCACCAAACTATTCATATGTTTCATGTCCTGTACCGTCGGCTTTGACATCTGGCCAGCAAGCCGCGATGCCTCGAAACTGTATTCATGAAGCAGTAGTCGTACCAACCACTGAATTTGTCTATTCATGCCACGAAGCGCTCCGTTTCAGCCGCGGTAAGTAGCTCCTTGTCCTGCTTAGCCTTTTCACGGGGCATACGGTAGTCCGTCATCGCATCGAGGTAGTTGCCCATGACGATGTTGATAGCGTAGTCTTTGTTCTGTTGGAAACGTCGTCCAGTA